ATTTGTTTTCGGCAAAACTAATCTTAAGTTTCAACGCGTTATGTTTTCCTTGCAGAAACATCATTCTTTGGAAGAAACTATCGAACGAACGCAAAAGTCGTAGGCCCTCTTTTACAATTTTCTTCCATTTGTACGTGATATATGCATCGCGAATTAACAAATTAATCAATTCGAAATATTTGCCCCGTTTCGTATTCGAATTTCTGTCAAGTTTCGCGCCGCGAAAGAACCACATTCGCACATTTTCGTATCTCAGCGACATTCCGAAACCGCTGTCCGACTAAAACGTGCTGCATCGACCTGAATGAGCGATGATCTGTCGGTGTGAGATCTGGAGAGTACGCCGCGTGCGCACGAACTTCCCGCTCCAAGTTAACGTTAATAATTCGTGCTCGCTATTATTTCGTGAGATCTGGCTATGATCTATCGTCACCGATGCATCATAAAGTTGGCGTTTCAAATAGAACAGCATCAACCAAGCGGTTGGAGGAAAACCTGGGAAATTACGTCGACCGAAAGTAATTATATACAGAGTGGTTGGTACAAGCGGAAAGGGGGTGATTCTACGCGAAAAAAGAAGCCGAAAATATAGAATAACAATTTTTCGTTCGAGGCTTTGTTTTCGAGAAAATCGACTTTGAATTTTCGCTCGGTACGCCTGCACTTTATCGCGTCTCGTTATAACGGATCTCACTGCAGATCGTTGTCTCGATGGAAAAATAAAAAAAAAAAATTTTTATTGTATATTTTAGACTTTTTTTTCGCGTAGAATCACCCCCTTTCCACTTGTATCACCAATTACCAACCACCCTGTATATATGAACGCTTGAGAAAAAGACTAAAACTATTGCGCGCATCTTTAGGACTAATAATTGATAAAAACAAGATTCGCATCTGAGAAGCTCAACGACCAACAAAGGACGTTCGTCGAACAGAAGGGACCAATCGTTTAAGAAAAAAAGAAACTGTTCCCTTCGACAATGGAAATATGCAGAAGCAAGTTGACGACTTATACGGTAGACGATAGAAAAGGAATTGCACGGTACACGGTAAAAGAGGAATTTTTCCTCTGCAGGAACCGAGCTGAAATATCCAAATTCAGTAACAGATATAACACAAGAATTAACAAAACCCATTAATTAGCCAATTTTACTTGACACGACGAATCAGATCCGCAGGCTAAAAAAACATTAGCCTCTAGATTTGAACATTAGATTCAGCTAGAACCAGACATACGATAATTATTTGTTATTTGCGTTATAGTACCACGCCAGAATAATTCTCAATGAGAATTGATTGTAAACTACTTTCATAATAAAAAAAAAAAAAAAATAAAGGAACCGAGCAGTTCCCCTTGACCGGCTAAAGCAGGCGAACAGTAGTTTACGAAAAGTGCACGTGAGGATGGCGAAGGAAGCGAAACGGAGTCACGAACACGTGCAGCGGTGTTAATTTTCTCCTGGTGGTGACCGTGACACCAGGCCGCGATTTTGCCTCGAATCTCCTCGACTGTGCATATTTCTGCCCATCCGCAGCTTGCCACTGACTCACTTCCTCCATTCTGCATAGACATTTCGCGTGTTTTGTCATCGATCAAAGTGAGAACTCGCCGTTTCTAACGTTCATTTATTCGGATAACCAAGCGATAACCAAGAGTAGAAGCAAAGGAAGAACGGAAGTAATCGCTATCGATGATGACACGATAATTATTTTGCCTTCGAGTTCTACCGTACGATTCGTTGATACACGATCGAGAAATTGTTTTATCGTCTGAGATAGTACAGTTAGACAAACTTGCATGTTCGTTGCGAGGAATAAGGAAATTTATACGATTCAGCGATCGTTCAATTTTTGTTATTGGAATATTGGAACATTTGGACCTTGTGTCTTTCTACAGGGAAATTGTTTCCACGCTACGAACTTTTTGGAAATCTCAGCGCCTCTTTTTTTTTTATTTATTTATTAAAATTACAATCAATTCTCGCATTGAGAATTTTCAGTAATAACTCAGCGCCTCTCAAACAGATCCTAATCCGTTCTCAGATAAAACAGATAAACAGATCTTTGACGTTCTCGAAATATTTATAAAAACGACTATATTAATTTCCAATAGAATTCTCCGCGATTTTAAGAATAAAATCGGTCACAGATTGCGAGCAAAACTAGTTTCCAAAAGCATCGTTGCAGTCGTTCGTTCGCAAAAGGCAGAAATAACGAGGGGCACGAGGAGAGAAGGTTACTGCACGCACCCACCTCAAACCCAGGTGTTCAAGATTAATAGAAACAGTTCGATCAGCTGCTGCCGGTAAAGATAAAATCGGTCATTCTTTCACCTCTGTCTTTGTTGTCCGTTGGTTAATTCGAAGAGAATGCTCTACACGTACTGGAGCACGAACGTTTACATTTCAATGATTCCCTTTTCCAGCAATATACGGATGTCCTTTTTCGGATAGATAGCCCATCTATCTGGTAATTGTAGCGTTCGATGCAACGTATATCGCTTTACACGCTGAATTCAACACCGTACTATCGTTCGGTATTTAAACACTTACTACAGAAAGCATTTATGTATACATAGGGTGTTTTATGTAGGTAAATTGAAATTTCATTATCATCGTAACGAAACAGGACTGCCACGACCATATTGGTAGCATTTGGAAACGATTTGGAAATTTTTTTTTTTATTTAATTTGTACTTTACAATCTGTCCAGCTCGATATTTGGTAAATAATATGGAAACAATTTGGAAATTTTTTTTTTATTATTTAGTTTTTACTTTACAATCTGTCCAGCTGGACACTTGGTAAATAATTTGGAAATGTATGGAGATGTTTCAAGATATTTATTGTAAATATATATTGGGTAAAAAATTAGTTTACAGAGTGAACAATCTTCTTAAATATATATAACAAATATCGAAGATAGTGAAATATCGAGGCATATGAATACGATTGATAATCGACGTTTTAAATTTCCTTTTTTATCTCTGTATTTTTATTTCTTTAAAAATCAATAGCAGGGCCGTGATTGGCGTTTAACTTTTCCGTCAATCGTTCTAAAAATATTTGTATCTATACCGTCCTCTTATTAGCCGTCACATCGGCTGTACCAAATGGAAACATCAAATTCCAAATTCTTAACATCGCTTATCGCGGAAATTGGATCTATTTGCTACGAATACGATCGAATAGAATCTCTTGAAATAGCCGTGTGACGAACAGATGTTCCGATCTCGTTCGTCGATCCGTCGTCGAAATCGGTTTATTTGCCGAGGGAATCGTGGAAATAAAACATTGCTGCCTGGACAGCCTAAATATTTACGCGACCCGCCTATCTTCTCTCTCATTCTTTCTTTATCCTCCTTCACCGAAAGATACTCTCGAAGCAACGAGACCAGAGTAAAAACGTTTAAGTTTAAGGGCCTTGCATGCCTTAATCGAAGACACTTCGTCGTCGTTGTCGTCGTTGTCGAATGTTCAGACTGTTGCCTCTCTGTTTCGTGGCTTTTAACTCTTCTCTCTCTCTCTGTCTCTCTCTCTCTTTTTCTTCCTTCCTCTCATGAAAGTTTCCTTTTAAATCAATATATTAGGTTGTCCGAAAAGTGTCTTTCCTTTACAGACACGTCTTTTACAACGACGCATCTTTATACAAACATGAAACCTAATCTGTCGAACGTTGTGATCTTTATCTTGATAGAACAGAATGGATCATACGTAATTCGATAAAATAATATTTTTTTTTATTTGCAAGTAGTTTACAATCAATTCTTATTGAGAATCAAGTAAATTATTCTGGCGTGGTACTATAACGTGAATAATAAGTGATTATCGTATGTTTGATTCTAGCTGAATCTAATAATAAAATAATATAAAATGAAAAATGTTGTTCGTCCATTATTTCCTAATAAAACGAAAGAAACTTTTCGGACGACCTAATAGAAGAATTGTTTGTTTCTTAACGCGTACGATCTCGTTGTTTCTTAACGTGTACAGTTCTTCATCTTTTCGAACACGGTACAATACTAATATTATTTGCATTTTTAATTGTTGCGAACAATTACACGGTCGCAGAGCGTGGTGTTTGAGCAAGGATTCGTGACAAGGATAAAAAAGATGTACATAACGCGCAAAGTTTGCTTATCAAATCTTTGTTAGCATTTTTCTTAGTTGTTGCCGCGGTTGAAATATTTCGAATATTTTCGATGTAACAGAACACAGCGATGTTTGGGTAAACAATCTACTAATTTCTCGTGTCACGCTGAAATCATTCGCCAAATCCTCGGATACAGTACATTAAGCAGAGAGCGGAGTTCTCGCGTAATATTTAAAATTCTCTCAAAACGAGTGCGATTTACTTGTAACTGTCAATGAGAATTGATTGTAAATAGTCTACCAAATAAAAAAAAGAAAAAAGAACGAATGCGACCAGAAACTCACTGTTGAATCTGTTGGAACCCACTCTTGGATCTCGCTAAAAAAAATCGTAACATCCGGTTTGTAGAAGAAAAAGATTATACAACGACGTAGTTTGATTCGTTTTCTTTTTTTTAATTCAGATAAAACAGAGAGAAACATTCGGAAACTAAAATTATACGTATTTTTGCTGCAATTTCTCGTACTCTTAAGGAGTAAAAAACGCTATTTGGCAAAAATTGACGAACAAGAATTCCAATTGCAACGAACGAGCGAGCTAGTTTTCAAGCGATTCGATTTCCATGTACAAACGACTCTCACCGATCCTCTATCAATTTTTTACGCATCTATTAGGTCGTCGAAAAAGTTTCTTTCGTTTTATAAGGAAATAATGGATACACAACATTTTCCCTTTTATATTATTTTATCGAATTACGTTTGATCCATTTTGTTCTATCAAACTAAAGATCACAACGTTCGACAGATTAGGTCTCACGTTTGTACGAAGATGCGTCGTTGTAAAAGACGTGTCTGTAACAGAAAGACACTTTCCGGACAACCTAAAACATTCGTATCGCTTAATCACAGACCGACGTTATCGTCGAACAATAAAATCAAAATCGAACAAGGATTGTTTCGTCCTTTTGTCCACTGCATGTGCGCTCTGCGTCGGTATAAGACAGCGGACTTCAAAACGAACCAACTTCTTCTCGCCTGACTGCGATACAATTTCGGTCGTGGAAAATAGCCAGCCATTGGAAAACTGTTTTTTAAAAGCATTGTTTATCCGACGACGCGGCGAGTTCGTGGAATCGAGCGTTTTCTATGGAAAATCTCGACTCGCGGTGTGTCCGGCGCAACACATGCTCCGAGTCGTTTATTTCCTGGCAGCTTCTGAAATTTATTCATTCACCTAACGAACGTCTTGGTACGAGCTATGAATAGGTAAGGGCCGGTGCTTAAGAGGCCAGAAACAAATCGTCCCTGCCACCTCTTGCCTCCTCTTCGCCCTCTCGAGTCCTTCCACGGAAGATGGAGAGAAAAAAGAAAGGAAGCCGAAGAAGAAAAGAAAAAAACAAAAGATAGAAGTGGCCACGATTCATATTGTAATTTCGAAAGCAGGATCCATTTATCTTGCAGGGGCGAGGGAATTTTTACAGGAGATTCGTTATCCTCCGCCGTCCGGGAATAGCAGCGGCGCGGAGGAAGAGGCAGGAGAGAAGAAATAAAATGGAAAAAAGAAGAGAAGAGAGAACGAAGAGACGGGGAGGGAGGAGATCGGCGATGAAGAAAGAAAGAAACGGCGGTGCTGCTCATCGACTCGTGACCACAATGAACCGTTTCCGTGATAATAAAACTAAACGTTGTTTAATTTGTATGGAGAGGCCTTGCAGCTCTTTTGTCCCGGTTGTTCCGTGGCTTTTGTGAAACGCTCGAATACCTCGCGCTACGTTACGGTATAAAAATAGTGGATAAATCAAAAGGACAGGCAGAAATAGATACGACATTGTTAAAGCCATGTACAAAACCTATAAAACGTAAATTGTACGATGGTGCGCTGTTTTTTTTTCCCCCAATTTCATTGTACCGTTCTGTGGCCTCCCTTTCCTTTCGTACGTCAAATTCTGCAAAATTAAATTGAACGCGCTCTTTAAATCGAAGCAAACGTGGAAGTATCTCACTGTTCCTTTGCAAAGAACGAAAAATCTATTGATCGATGTATCAAGAGACGTAGAGTTTCACACAAGAAGAAAAAATATTGGCGAGTTTGAACTTGAACGCTGGAAAATACGAGAGTCGGTGACGTCGATCCACTTTATCTTGACACAATTTTGTCCAGATTTAACCGAGACATTCACGAGTCCAAGATGTATTTCCGTCATTGACAGTACCGAATTCGACGCTGATAATACCGAGACGCTCTGTGCAACAGGACGAAGGTGAAATCCAAAATGAAACCGAAATGAAAACGGACAATCCTTCGTCGAACACCTTCGATACGCGTCTCTGTGTATCCTCCGCTTCATTCGGTTGATCTTCAAAGGTCAACCAGATTGCGTAACCCCTTGATGGTCAGTGGATCGCGAGAAAGATCTCTGAGACGATTGCCTCGATGTACGATCGAGTGATCCGTAAACAAGCGATAGAGGCGAGTAGGTACATGGATGGCAAAATGCGGACCGAGGTCTGGCTGGCGATCAGCAAAGAGAAAGAAGGACACGAGGTAACAAGGTGAACAAGAGAAAAAGAGAAGGTGGTTGTTGTTGACACTCGGGGTGGCGATTCTCGAACCAGGTGGCGGCCGATTGGCGGTGCTAAAATTGAGCGGAGGCGCGATTGGCCGAGCTTGCCTCGACCTCTTAGTCATCGTTCCCGATTTGGAAAATTGGCCAGTTGCCGAATTTCCTATGCCCTGCCGAAGGGTTTTCTTCTACTGTTCCTTAAGGAGATGCATCGGTCTACAGAATCGAAAGAAATCACATTCTTTTTCTAGAAAAATCGTTGAAAATAGGACAATCTTGGCCAGACAATTCGTCCGTTTATTTTCATTAGCCATTTATTTTATTTAGTATCGTCGAAGTATTAGAGCGTGCTAACGTTATTATCATTTATACGATTAAAATTCGATTAACACTGGAACTATCACATTGATTTTACAATTTTATTTTAAAATTCCTACTTCGTGTTATATTTTTTCCCCCAATGATATAATAATTTTCGCAACGATAACTAAAAGAATAATATAATGAATTTTATTCCGTTTTTTACGTATTCAAACTGAAAATAATTTTGTATCAAGGCTACTTATACCAATACCAGTGAGAATGACTGGTACTTGTCAAAGCGTAAAAGGGTCCTGCAATCTGTTTATCGAACCCCAATTAACCAGTTTCCTCGTTTTCTACAACTTGCCACGCGTTTTTCAAATTTTTACCGCGTATCATCCGATATGACGATATCAGTTATCAGGAAAATTCCGAATCGATCGCTAGATGCTAACACTAGAAATACCACACCAGTCAAAATGACTGGTTCTACAATTTTATAAACGTGTCAATCCTCGTTTAGGGATCCCAGATGGATTAATAATAACAAAAATGTACTACGTAACATTGAATTCCTTCTGTAAGGATAAAATCCTTCTGTGATAAAAACAGCTTCGTGTTAACTATCGGTAGTTCTAGTGTTAAAATCGTTCTTTAAAATGTGTGTTAGTGACGCGAGTTGAAACTTTCCCACAGGAACAAGGCTACGTTATGGGTTACATCGACTTCCTTCTTTTCTATTTTACCTTCACTTCTTCGTTTTTGCTACTTCGGACCAGATCCGCAGGCTGAAGAGACACTACCCGCTAGACCTAAACACTAGATTTAATTAGATATTAAGTAATATTTATCTACGACACTTACTTATAAATTATACTTATCTATAATAAGTATTAACTTATTATAAATAATTAGCCATGTCACTGCGCCACGCCAGAAAAAATTACTGAAAATTCTCAACGCGAGAATTGATTGTAAATTTTAATAAATAAAAAAAAAAACTCCTTCGTTTCGCGGAGAAAATTAGTTATTCCTTTCGTTACAGGACAATTTTAAGGACGTGTCGGTTTATTTATTATATCGCGAGTACAGGATTTCCCATTAAAAGAGAATTTAACAAAGCAAGGATTAAGCTTGATTACCAGGATTACGAATGATTAGTAGCTGAAAGGTTTATAGCTGTATCGTTGTTAGAAAATGGTCAACGATTAAGATTACCGAGCTAATTGATACATGTAGGTATATTATTTAAGTGAAATTTAAACCGTGGATCTTATCGACAATTATCTAAATGACATTTGAAATTAGTCGCTTAAATTGGTTACTTAAGATTTCCGTGGATCGTATATCAGTACGATTTTTTTTCTACAAAAATGTACTACGTAACATTGAATTCCTTCTGTAAGGATAAAATCCTTCTGTGATAAAAACAGCTTCGTGTTAACTATCGGTAGTTCTAGTGTTAAAATCGTTCTTTAAAATGTGTGTTAGTGACGCGAGTTGAAACTTTCCCACAGGAACAAGGCTACGTTATGGGTTACATCGACTTCCTTCTTTTCTATTTTACCTTCACTTCTTCGTTTTTGCTACTTCGGACCAGATCCGCAGGCTGAAGAGACACTACCCGCTAGACCTAAACACTAGATTTAATTAGATATTAAGTAATATTTATCTACGACACTTACTTATAAATTATACTTATCTATAATAAGTATTAACTTATTATAAATAATTAGCCATGTCACTGCGCCACGCCAGAAAAAATTACTGAAAATTCTCAACGCGAGAATTGATTGTAAATTTTAATAAATAAAAAAAAAAACTCCTTCGTTTCGCGGAGAAAATTAGTTATTCCTTTCGTTACAGGACAATTTTAAGGACGTGTCGGTTTATTTATTATATCGCGAGTACAGGATTTCCCATTAAAAGAGAATTTAACAAAGCAAGGATTAAGCTTGATTACCAGGATTACGAATGATTAGTAGCTGAAAGGTTTATAGCTGTATCGTTGTTAGAAAATGGTCAACGATTAAGATTACCGAGCTAATTGATACATGTAGGTATATTATTTAAGTGAAATTTAAACCGTGGATCTTATCGACAATTATCTAAATGACATTTGAAATTAGTCGCTTAAATTGGTTACTTAAGATTTCCGTGGATCGTATATCAGTACGATTTTTTTTCTTTTATACTTCGTAACGATAAGTCGAGGCTCGTTGTCGGACATTACACGATACAACTAATTCATCTTCGATACTAAGAAGCCTCAGTTAAAATTACCCAACGATTATTATTTTACACCTAATCTAAACTACATTCTACTCCGTTTCGTTTACTCCACGTTCGTCTTATACATTCTCCTAAATCAAAATTTCTATTACATTCGATGAATGAAAATCCCCTACTGTGTATGTTTTGATCTTACAAAAGAATATTACAATGGGCCACTGCTCCATTCGTTTTCGTCTTAGTTGCCTCTTCATTGTATACTCGCAGTGACTCACAAAAGTACAGGTTCTCTTCATTTCCAATTTCCAATTTCCAGTCATATTAAAATACTATTGCTCAGTCGCATATTGATATTAAAATGAGAAAAAAGAATAAGTAACTTACGATTCAACTTACGTTGAATGTATTAACAACCACCAAAACCCATTAATTACCCAATTACTAATCCGCAAACTAAAGAAGCAATACTCTTTAGATTTAAGTATTAGATTCAACTAAGATCAAACGTACTATAAACTCTCATAATCCAAGTGACAGTACCACGCCAGAACAATTTACTTATCATTCTCAATGAGAATTGATTGTAAAAAGTCTACTAGATAAAAAAGAAAAAGAAAAAGAAAAACTTACGCGAGTAATCGTCTCTCTATTTATAGATAACGTTGCTACTTGTTTCTGTTAAAAAAATCACCCGACATTCACAGCTTACTCCCAAAGGCGGAGAGTAAAAGAAAAACGCGTAGAAACGACACCGCGTTAGACCCAGAAAAAGAGGAAAGAAGAAATAAGAAGACGAGGAAAAGTAAGAACGGTGAAATGTGAACGTGCAGGGAGGAAACGAATACTCGATAATTATCGTCGAGTTTTATTACACGCCAGCCACGTTCCTCGGATCGTTTAATTTCTCGGAAAAACGCATTCACCCCATTCCATCGCGGCTTGAAACCGCGGCGCGTTGGCCTTCGGATTATGCGGTAGGCAGAAAGCCGCGTTTACGCGACAGAACACTCGTCGGAGATGGATTCGAAACGGTGACCCTGGCTCACTGACCCTTTTTAACCAGGGAACCTTCGCTCTGTCTCGTAAACAGTGCAGACAGAGAGGCTCGAATGTCGCAATCGTTATGGCGAAGCGCGGCCGACTGGCTGCAGCATCCTTCGAGTTTCAACTTTTCTTTTTCTCATCAACGAGATCCGACCAAGAGCAAAAGAAAAGGAATTAACGCGTTTCCCACCGACAAACGCAGCCTTACCGTGCCTCGTGTTCGGTTTCTCCTCTCGGATGGCTCTTTCCTTCGAGAATTTTCATCTACAGAGGATACATTGTTGCGAAATGTTTGGCCACGTCGATGGTTACTGTTTTACGATCCAATTTTCTCGTTAAAATGAATAATCTCGCCAGATATAAACTCTGCTCGAATCTACGAAGTATGAGCCGTAGCAACGATTGTCTTCTCTCGGTACTTTCGGATATTGACGCAATTCATCGACCGAATATTGCTTTCCAATTATAATTAGTTTAACTCATTTTGCACAAGCATACGATACTGCAAATGACTTTAGAAGATTTATTCGTAATTTTACGATCAAAAGATACCTTTCATACGATGATCACTTATCATTCGCGTTATAGTACCACGTCTGAATTATTTACTTGTAATTCTCAATGAGAATTAATTGTAAAATACTTCCAAATTAAAAGAAAAAAAAAAAAAAAAATAAAAGAAATGGGTCGAGGATAGAGAAGCGTGTCTGGGCAAGTGTTAGGCAGCTAG